TGCTGATACTGCTGATACTGCTGATACTGCTGATACTGCTGATACTGCTGATACTGCTGATACTGCTGATACTGCTGATACTGTTGATACTGCTGATACTGCTGATACTGCTGATACTGCTGATAATAAACATGGCTGCATGAGCCAGCCTCCACATTCCCAGCGTCTCGCAGACACCACAACATTCACCAAACACTCCCCCCTTTCTTCCCCTCCCATTCTTCTATCCTTCCCACTATTCTATCCTTTCCCTTCTCCCACTCTTTCCCTTCCACCCTTATTTCCCTCCCTCTCTTTTTTACCTTCCTCTCTTCATTCTCTTCCGCTATGCTTTTCCTTCTCTTCTTCCCCTCCCATCAATTACTAAAAAATTCTTTTCCCATCAATTACTACAAAAATGACATCAAACACTGGAAAAATTACAACAAACACTACAAGAATGACATCAATTACTACAGAAATGACATCAAGCACTATGATAATGACATCAAACACCACAAAAATCTCCTCAAACACTACAAAAATGACATAAAACACTACAAAAATGACATAAAACACTACAAAAATGACATCAAAAACTACAAAAATGACATAAAACACTACAAAAATGACATCAAACACTACAAAAATGACATCAAACATTACAAAAATCAACTCAAACACTACAAAAATGGCATCAAACACTATGAAAATGACATCAAACACTACATGAATGACATCAATTACTACAAAAAATGACAACAAACACCATAAAAATGACATCAAACACTAGAAAAATTACGACAAACACTACAAAAATGACATCAAACACTACAAAAATGACAACAAACACCATAAAAATGACATCAAACACTAGAAAAATGACTGCAAACACCACAAAATGACAACAAACACTACAAAAATGACTACAAACCTCACAAAAATGACATCAAACACTACAAAAATGACATCAAACACTACAAAAATGACATCAAACACTACAAAAATGACTACAAACACAACAAAAATTACAACAAACATTACAAAAATGAGTAAATGACATCAAACACTACGAAAATGACATCAAACACTACAAAAATGACATCAAACACTACAAAAATGACATCAAACACTACAAAAATGACATCAAACACTACAAAAATGACTACAAACACAACAAAAATGACAACAAACATCACAAAAATGACTAAAAACCTCACAAAAATGACATCAAACACTACAAAAATGACATCAAACACTACAAAAATCACATCAAACACTACAAAAATGACATCAAACACTACAAAAATCACATCAAACACTACAGAAATGACAACAAACGCTACAAAAAAATGACAACAAACACCACAAAATGACAACAAACACCACAAAATGACAACAAACATCACAATGATTACAAAAAACTGTCACAAAAAGGCACCTCAAATGGCCACAAAGATTGCAAAAGACGCGCTGCTAATCTTCAGTTTAATGGCCGCGCTCGATGCCACGTCAGCAATCGTGCGGCAATTGCCCTTTAGTTTACCCAACAAGAGGGAACTGCAGCCAAGATTGTTGACAATCCTTGCCAAATGAACCTGATTGCTTGGCACAATCTTCAGACGTATGAGGTGACGATCACAAAACACAGTATTGCTTTATTGATTTGCTACCCATGGTGATTGCCTTTCAAGACATGGTGATTGCCTTACTCGTGATAAAGTGAATGCCTACCTCATGACACGGGGATTGTCTCACTCATGACACGATGATCGTCTCACTCATGACACGATGATTGTCTCACTCATGACACGATGATTGTCTCACTCATGACACGATGATTGTCTCACTCATGACACGATGATTGTCTCACTCATGACACGGGGATTGTCTCACTCATGACACGATGATTGTCTCGCCCATGACACGATGATTGTCTCGCCCATGACACGATGATTGTCTCACCCAATACATGATGATTACTCCATTGATAACAAAATGATTGCTCCATCCAGGACAAAATGATTTTTCAATCCGAAGTATAATGATTCGTCCATCTAAGAAATGACGATTGGTCCACCATTACAGTCATTAATATTATATTTTCAAAAATTACCAATGTTAATCATTTAGCAATCATTCATCCATTAGCCCATTAGATTCCATTTTCTTCGGAACACCCAATTAAAAAATTTATTTTATTGAGTCCCAGAGTTCAATCCATTGGGGTCTTACGACCTCCCTTCAATTAGTGAATACTAAAGATAATGTCAATTAATATGCATAATAGTTTGTCGTGAATATTCATGAATGTATTCATTTCTATATTAGGAATTTTGGTTATGACATTGGTGCCTTTGAAGTTAAAAATGAAAAAAGTGATTTTGTAAATAAAAGGGATGGGATGACAGCTCCTTTGGAAATATTTGAAATTACGGTGCGTTTGAAAACTAAAATTGAAATTATGGTGCCTGTTAAAAAAATATTATAATATCAAAACGTATGAAAACAAAGTTAAAGTTATGGTGTCCCGGAAAATATAATTGGAATTGTGTTAAATTAAAGATAAAAATAAAATCGCGGTGCCCTTGAAGATATGAATTAAAATTGATATGCATTTTACAACACTTCTCTTTAACTTCACTTCTTGTTTGTCTGTCTGTCTGTCTGCTACAAATCTTGTAATCAAAATTTAATACACTTCTACTTATCCTATCGATCTGAAATTTTGCCCACTTTTGTAAAGTTGGAGACAATGCATGAATCAAATGTCAAAATAAATGATTTTAGAAATTAAATTTTTTTTTCAATTTTAAAAAAATTGAAAAATAATTTTGTCAGCTACAAATCTTATAACTGATATTTGACACACTTTTACCTGTCTAATTGATCTGAAATTTTGCACACTGGTGTGAAATCAGAGGCAATGCACGAATCAATTAACAGAATAAATAATTTTGAAAAAAATTATATATATTAAAAAAATTTATATATATTTAAAAAATTGAAAAATTAATTTTTTTAATTTTTGAAAATTAGATGAGAAATTCATTGTACATCTGTAAGATTGGAGATACTGGATTCTTTGGAAGTGTTGTCTTTAAAAAGTAGTTTTTTCATATAGAATTTAAATTGTTCTGCATTTAATGCTAAAACTTCAAATTGTGGTGCTCTACAAGATAAATGAAATAAAATTATTTAGAATTTGAAAATAAAAATAGAATAAATACTGTTAAATATAAAAATTTAAAATACTTTGTCTTGAAGATAAAAATTTAATTTTCTGTGAGTTTGAGCCTTTGAACATAAAATGGAAATTTTTCAGCCTTTGAACATAATTATTAATATCACGTTGTCCTTAGAGGTGAAACTTGCAAAAATGGCGCCTTCAGCGATAAAAACTCTACTTTAATAACCTATAGAGAATATAAATTGAAATCACCTGGACATGAATAATAAAAATTGAAATTTTGTTCCTTTATGCACAGCAATTAGCACATTTCTTCATATAAATTTAAACATCCTCACCCCTTTGACATAAAAATTGAAATTTCGTCACCTTTAAAAATAAAAATTGAAACTTCATTCCCTTTTAAATTAAAAATTGAAACTTCATTATTTCCTAACAAAGAAATTATAAATTTAGTGCCAACACCAAAGTGTTAATGACGCAGAATCTTATGATGTTGATGCATTGAAGCCTTGCTTGATCTTCGGTAATGATTTATAGCGGTCGCAGTTGCGCTAGATTACCGGGCGACCCACAACAATAGAGCAGAAACTGCTGACGTCATCGTGACCATGTTCCCACTCTTCAGTTGTTGATATGTACGTGATTTATGGTTGGCCATTCTACCAGCGATCTACCATGATATTCATACCGGAACTGTTATTTACAACGATTTTCAATGATATTCATACAGGGAGTGTTATATGCAATGATTTACTTTGATATTCCTACCGGAACCGTTATGGTTGATCTACAATGATATTCCTATCTAGTTTCTAGCAATTTTTAATAGATTAATGGCCAATGCAGTTGTATTAAATAAAATCACCACCGTAACACCACCACCACCACCACCACCACACCACCACACCACCACACCACCACCACCACCATCACCACTCCCCAGTAAGTAGTCCTCACAAATTTATGGGATTGTTTTGGACTCTGTGTGTTGTGAGCCGCAGCGCAGCAATAATATTTGCCGGCGCAAATATTGCGGTGGGGCGAGCCTGTGACGACCCTGGGGCGGCCCTAATTAACTTCAATGAGCATTTCAAGCGTGATTGGTTAGCATGAGTATCTTGAATTACCCTGACAAAAGGTTACCCTGTTTAGCATGAGTATCTTGAATTACCCTGACAAAAGGCTTCCCTGGTTAAGCGCTGTTCAGCTGAAACTGTGATATATTGCAAGGTGATGGATATAAGGTGATGGATTATGAGGTGATGGATATAAGCTTTTAAGGTGATGGATTTCAAGGTGATGGATATAAGCTTTTATCAATGAGATTTTGGTTAAATCTGTTATATATTCCAAGGTATTTCAAAGACCGAAATGATTGTATTTGATTTTTGGAGAGCTACGAGACCGAAAAATTTCTTACAAGGCAGACAAAGCTCATTTAAAATACAGAATCAACTCTGTTATCATCAACAGAGTCAACTCTGTTTTCTGCAACAGAATGAACTCTGCATCTTCAAAAGAATGAACTCTGTTATTTTCAACAGAATCAACTCTGTTATCTTCAACAGAATCAACTCTGTTATCTTCAACAGAATGAACTCTGTTATCTTCAACAGAATAAACTCTATCATCAACAGAATCAACACTGCTATCATCAACAGAATCAACTCTGTTATCATCAACAGAATCACCACTGTTATTATCAACCGATATGATGGCTATTGAACAGAAAACAACACATTGGTCATGACCGACGACCATCTACTTCGTGGGACGTTAATGTGATATATGCAGCCCGCTCCCCTGTCCCGGCTTCTGTCTCGGCTTCTGTCTCGGCTTCTGTCTCGGCTTCTGTTTCGGCTTCTGTTTCGGCTTCTATCTCGGCTTCTGTCTCGGCTTCTGTCTCGGCTTCTGTCTCGGCTTCTATCTCGGCTTCTGTCTCGGCTTCTGTTTCGGCTTCTGTCTCGGCTTCTGTCTCGGCTTCTGTCTCGGCTTCTGTCTCAGCTTCTGTCTCGGCAGTATAGTCATGTTTCAACTTACCTCCAATTTCGGCTCCGGTGCACACTCTGCCGGACTCTGCACACTCTGCACACTCTGTAAGATGTGTAAAGTGGAGGTGCTGAGTAGCGTGTATATGGTGTGTGAAGTGAAGACTGTGTGTAGTGTAAAGACGGTTCGTAGAGTGTAGACGGTGTGTAGAGTGTAGACGGTATGTAGAGTGTAGACGGTGGGTAGAGTGTAGACTGGTGTGTAGAGTGTAGACTGTACGTGTGTAGTGCGAAGACGGTTCGTAGAGTGTAGACGGTGTGTAGAGTGTAGACGGTGTGTAGAGTGTAGACGGTGTGTAGAGTGTAGACGGTGTGTAGAGTGTAGACGGTGGGTAGAGTGTAGACCGGTGTGTAGAGTGTAGACCGGTGTGTAGAGTGTAAACCGGTGTGTAGAGTGTAGACGGTGCGTAGTGTGTAGTCGGTGTGTAGAGTGTAGATGGTGTGTAGAGTGTAGATGATGTGTAAATGCTGTATATGCATGAATTAATGCTGCTTGTGTCTGCGTTTGCATGTGTGAAGAGCACACGCTGTGTAGAAGGTATACACCTTGTGTGCGTATGCATCTCCTCTTACATACATACACACAGCCTGTATAAATAATTCTCGTGTGTATGACCTTGTATATTTTAGGCCTCTGTGTGAGCTCACACGGGCGCCAACGTAGCACTCAATCACACAGCTAATACAAATGCAGTGTTGTGCACTTGCTTGTATTTAGGCATCAAGGACACACTCAGCATGTATACCTCATCAGTATACAGATGTATACATCCAATGGACACAATGATGCTGCCATCCTATGGACACAATGATACTGTCCATCCTATGGACACAATGATACTGTCCATCCTATGGACACAATGATACTGGTCACCCTATGGACACAATGATATTGGCCATCCTATGGACACAATGATACTGGACATCCTATGGACAGAATGATACTGTCTATCCTATGGACACAATGATACTGCCATCCTATGGACACAATGATACTGGCCATCCTATGGACACAATGATACTGGCCATTCTATGGACACAATGATACTGGCCATCCTATGGACACAATGACACTGGCCATCCTATGGACACAATGATACTGGCCTCCCTATGGACACAATGATACTGGCCATCCTATGGATACAATGATGCTGGCCATCCTATGGACACAATTTTAGTGACCTTCTCGCAACACAAAAAGTACGGCATTTGAACAACACAAAACACAAATGCATCGTAAACACAAATGCAGCCTCAACTGTCCAAGTTGAAATGGACCGTTGTGCTCACGCCCTGACCGAAGGCACGGCACAATGCCCACAAAACGACACAAAAACACAATGTGCCTGGCCAGCGGTCAGTCAGCAACACAAGCACATTTGGATATTGCGACAAATTGCAACATTGCGACTCCGGCACAATGCCGGAACCGAGCCGGCAAATTGCCTCTGATATTGTTGCCATTATTGTGGCCATTGTTGCCATTGATTGACCAATATGCTAGAGCAGAGATGAGTTAAATATTCTGCAATACTCATCCTAAGATGAAATCGCTTAATTTTTTTATTTGATTGTATTTGATATGAATGCATGAATGTATGGTGAATGTCGCTGAATAGTGACAGCTACGAACCGTCTTGAAGCGAAACCAATCAATTTTTTTATAATGACATACCAGAGTAAATAGAAAGAGTAGCGTACCATTAATTGTGCAATTTGATATACATTAAAATTGTGCAAAGTTGATATTGATAAAAAACATTGTATCCAACACCGTATACCGTATAGACATAGAATGAAAATTGCCGGGCAGCGCAATACCATGCATTGAGTGGTCATATAAAAATAATTTGTTATTAAAAAAGTTCCCCACGTATTAGAATAATATGAAAGCATCAATTTAAATAATGATCTTTAATATGTAAAGGAAGAGCGTTTATTTCAATAACTATTCAACCAGTTTTTACAGCCCGGCTTTAGGTGTAGATGTAGGTGTAGATGTGGTATGTAGGTGTAGATGTAGTATATAGGTGTGAATGTGGTATGTAAGTGTAGATGTGGTATGTAGGTGTAGATGTAGTATGTAGGTATAGATATGGTATGTAGGTGTAGATGTAGTATAGGTGTAGTTTTGGTATGTGTGTGGGTAGATCAATGCCACGAAAGACAAGTAGAAATGCGTTAATAGTTTAATTTTTATTCGATAATTAAAGTCATAAATTACTTTTCTCCAAACTTAGTTAAAATTCTTAATCCTTTTTTCTAATTGATATGAAACGGGGATTTTTGAACACGATTTCAAGGTCTGAGGTTGCACTGTATATACAGTGGGGGGAAATAAATATTCGTACACTTGAAAAATCGTATTTTAATGTATGTAAGTACACAAACTTAACAGGAAAAGTGATTTAAATTATGTATAGAGACGCATAGTATTCAAAAATACTATCAAAAGAAATTAAATCTCAATGCAACAAAAAACAATGCAACGTGTTCACTTTTCGGGTGAAAAAAGTATTCGTACAAAACAATAAATCCGCATTATTTTAATTTAATACTTGGTTGAATACCCTTTATTCAGCTCAACAGAATTGCATTAATTTTTGTTGCATTGAGATTTAATTTCTATTGATGCTATTTTTGAATACAATGCGCCTCTATACATAATATAAATCACTTCTCCTGTTCAGTTTGTGTACTTACATACATTAAAATACGATTTTTCAAGTGTACGAATATTTATTTCCCCCCACTGTATTCAAGCCGCATTGCAATCGAATAACTTTGAATAAAATGTTTTTAACAAAAGCTTCAAAAATCCTTATTTAAACATACTGTATTTAATAATAATTATGTAATTGAAACCTACTGGGCTGCATTTAATTTTGGGTTGAGATTAAGGAACTGAATAAAAGATAAACAAATGGATTTATTTCGGGCTCATATTACGGTTTGGATTAATAAATTGGGGTTTAATTAATTCACTTTGGGGTTTAAATTAACGAGCTGGATTGAAATTAAAGGACTAGATTTATCTTCTTCTTAGTGAAAAGTACGGGAAAAATTGACACACATATTTTATGTCTGGGATTAAATCAACGTGATTGGCCAAAATTAACGGAATTGAATTTACCTTATGGGTTCAAATTTTTCAACTGAATTAAAATTAATTGGCGCGAATTATTTTTGTGTTTGAACTACTGATTCAATCAAAATTAACGGATATGATTTATTTTCTGGTTTGAATTCAAAATTACCGGGATGGATTTACTTTGATTAAAAATTAACTGCATGGATTTGTCTTTTGATTCAAAAGTAACGGGATGGATTGATCTTTTAGTTTTAATTTATGGGCTGGACTAAAATTGATAAAACGGTTTTATTTTCGGATTTAATGCAACAACTGTCCCGAGAAATGGGGCGCTATGGGCAGTGGTCTCACCCCATGTTGCTGAGCATTGTTGACACATTTTTGTGTCGTCACATTGTGTGAACAATACAGTAGCACCACACAATACCCATTGTAAACGCTGTGTTTTGTTTTTGTTGTGTGAATAGCAATGCAGTTGAAGCTGTCAACGCTCTGGCAGGATTACCAGCACCAGTTGTGTCGGGATTTTCTCTTGGAATCTCAAAAACTTCTTCCCAGATTATCACTTACAAGGGATTTATCCTGATAAAGACCAAGATAATCCTGCTGCATCCTTCACCTTCTGAATCCTGAACCTAAAATTTAAATGATATATTTTTAAAACAATTTCCAATACATTTTGATAAATTTATAATGAATAAAATTCGAGTTTATTTCACAAAAATCTAGGAATATCACTTACAATGGGGAATAATAAGATATTTATAATCTCATAATGAAGTTTTTAAATCATAATATGAAGGCTAATTCGATGTATAATTTTTTCCTGTTAGTTGCAGAAGAGATTTCTGATCCTTCTATTGAATATTATTTATTAATGCTGTTATTGATAATGAAATAATTGATAATAAATAACTATTTACAGATAATTAGATTCGAGGAAAATCCTGCCTAAACTAATACCTCTTTTTGAATGCATTTTATTGTGTACGTAATAAATGTGTCGCTGTGAATGCTAGAGAAATGGGGCGCTACATTCTAATTCATTCCAATAAATAATTTGCGTTATTACAATGCCGGCCGAAATACTTTGAAGCAATGCTTGCACAGGCACATTCAGAAGCAATGCAAGCATTGCCAGGAAGGCAATGCTTGCACTTGATCTCCATAATTGCAGCTCCGATAACACTTGAACCAAAGCAGCAATGTTCCTCAAGAGCTGAGAGTGACAGCACCACGTCCAGTGGTGGTCACTCATCCGTCTCATTGATGGCAACTCTATACATCAACTTTTGATGTAGCTCTATACATAAAGTTTTTTGCTATGCCTAAAACCTTGCTGCTTGCCTGCTGCCTTTAAACCTTGCCTGGGTGTTTGCCTGGCTCACTAAATGGTGCGCTGGCCATCATCATCAACAAAGGCCACGACGCTGCATTATCAACAAAAGGACTCAACACTGCAGGACTCTGCACGGTGCAGAGTCCATTTAAATCCTCCCTTACAGTGCACTGCAAATCTCTGGACAATCGCTTGTGCTTTGACAAAAAACTGCTCTTTTCGGTCCTCGGATCGGCGGTGAGAAGCC